ACACTGTACCGCATTCGCACTTCTATAGAACATAGAAGTAGCATAGGAAAACCACAGAAAACCCATGCCGGTACAGGCGGTTCCTCTATTAGCAACCTCCCGCTTGCCGGAGCCTTCCGTTGAAAAATTCGGTTCCACGGGGAATCGAACTCACAACCTTTCGCACACTAGACTTGTGTCTAATCCACTCGGCCACCGACGTCGGTGAGAGAGAGAGAGAGATCAGTCGACTTAACTCGAAGTTGAGTTTTTGAGGAATATTTCTGAATTTAAAGGAGATGGCGACATTTTCATAATTATATTTGTTATAGCACTCAATCGGCTCCACAAAAAAGGTTATAACAAAAATCTTCCTTACATTCCGAGATATTGATTGAAAACTGGTCAATAGTCAAAATTGACTTCTCTCCTTCGCTGATTTATATCTACAATTATCTTCGTATTTTTATTTATTTTCAATAATATTACTTTGCGTTCAATATATTTCATCTGCGACTTAATCTTACGAAGTTTTCGCACGTCAAATGAATGCAGTTTATTAAATTATGTTTTTTTACAAACAAATATGATATTGATGAAAAAATAATCAGGTTCGTAGAAAATCTCAAGTTTCGTCCATCGAACTGATTGATATCCAACGATGACATGAATCCTGTCTATAAATGTTCCTCCATGTCACAATTGTCATCCAATTTCAATGTAATAGCTAGGTTGTCATATATTATTCATAGGAGGGTGGTCGTCCTGTTTCCGAACTCGTTTAGTAATTGTGTCAGTTGACGTGCTTTGAGAAAAAATTGATGATACAGGCAAAAGTAACTTTTTCCGTTTTCAAAATGCAATATATAAGTCATGATTTTTTGGAAATTTCGGGAGTTATGATTTTTTGGAAATTTCCGGTTTTTTTCAATAAAAAATTTTCTTTTCAGATCATCATCAATATTTGAGGCCTCATTAGAGCTATTAAATTTATTTTCAGCGCCCTTAAAGAACATGAAAAAACCTTCAAAGTGAGACATCATTCGCTACATTCGCTTCAGATTTTCGGGATTTATGCGGCAAAACGTGTTTTTTTTCAATCGTAATTTTCTAAAAAACATAATTTTTTAAAAATCTGAAATTTTTAACAAAAATAGTCGATAAAATGATGAACATTTTGGCGTAAATTTCAGTCAGTCTTTCGCAATGGTTTGGTAGATATAAAATTTTCAAATAAGCAAACTACTGAAAATGATGGGAAATCGCTGTTAATCGTCCAATTATCTCACGAATGAGCGGATTTTTTATTGAAAATGGATAACTAGAAAAGCATGATATATTACACAGATGAGTTAATCCAAGAATAAGGGAAATTTCCCCAACATTTGTCTTCATAAACATGATCATGGTGTCGATGCTGAATGGCACTTCTATATATCATATCATGGGAAAGGCACTTGTGACGGAATAAGTGGAACGTTTAAACGTACAGCCAAGCGAGCTAGTCCCTTATGGCTTCTGACAGACAAAATAAGAAATGTGCAGGAACTGCACGATTGGGCGCGAAAAAATCTTTAAAATATCACTACAATTAATATGACAAAAGACGAGATAGTTGGAATGTAGAAAAAATGAAATTGACAACTTGCAAACGTTAAAGGCATCTTAGGGATTCGTGACTATCATTGCTATATACTGACTACAACTGGTAGCATGATGGTTAAACCTTTCTCATCTTCAGATCGGCATGAAACGTTTAAATTGGCCGACGATTTACTATCACTCGAGTCAGTTCAATCTGCAGTAATTATTATTTATCAAGACAAATGGTGGCTGGATTTGTCTGAATTTGTCTGTGATTTTGAATAAACATCCTTAATAATTTGGAGTTATTATTTCCAATAGTGAATGACTATGATTTCAGTCTATTCGTACATCTTCTCTCATGAATCTCTAAAAATCCCGACGAGGAGAGATGGCGGGAGCAATTTTTTCCCTAAATTCTTTTCTCTAGAGCCTAAAACTTTTCATTTATCGATGTTCAATTTAAAAATGCGCTCATTCGTGAGATAATTCGATGATTAACTGCGATTTTCCATCATTTTTATTAATTTGCTTATTTAAAAATTTTATATCTGTCAAACTATTCCGAAAGACTAACTGAAATTTACTCCAAAATGTTCATCATTTTATCGACTATTTTTGGTAACAATTGCAGATTAAAAAAAAATTAGGTTTTTGAGAAAATCGCGATTGAACAAAACACACCTTTTGCTGCATAAATCCCGAAAATTTAAAGCGAATGTAGCAAATTACATCTCATTTTAAAGGTTTTTTCATGTTCTTTAAGTGTGCTGAAAAGAACTTTAATAGCTCTAATGAGGTCTCAAATATTGATAATGATCTGAAAAGAAAATTTTTGATTGAAGAAAAGCGGAAATTTTCAAAAAATCATAACTCCCGCAATTATTAACATTTTTAACTTCTTTTCTTTCAAAATGTTCGTCTGACGCCCAACTTTTCAGAAAAAATCGGCAAAAAAATCCCCGACATTGACTTCTATGGGTGTCGCATTCGGCGTGGATCCGCTCAGTTTCAGATTAACAAATTTTAAATACATTTTACATTTTTACATAAAATAAATTTTATTCGTAAAAAATCAGATTATTAATATTATATTATTTGAAAAATTGAATCAACATACTTTCAACCTTCATCAATGTAAGGGTCAAATTCTTGTAATATTACAGAAATTTAATATTGATGAGGATCCCTGCTGATAATAGATAATTTGATACGTTACGATAGAATTTTATGCCTGAAAAATCATGAAATTTTTTTAGAAACACAATAAACATTCGAAATTCAGTTTCACAAGATGAAAAAATAGCTATTTTCGTCACAAAGCCGTAAAAAAAAACTTTTCTGACGAGTGTGAAGAATGCAGAGCGAGGCGAAACCGAGAAATGCAATCACACGAGTCAGAATAGTATATTTCAGTACATGTGGGGCAATAGCGTCTTTAACGTGTGTGGGGTTTACAGCATGAGCCGAAGGCGAGTGATGTAACCACACACGTTAAGGACGAAATTTCCCAACAAGTACTGAACAAAATTTTATGTCACGAAGCCTGAAACCGGCTGAATTAGACACGAGACGCGAAGCGTCGAGTGTGTAATCCAGCCGGTTTCAGGCATGAGTGGCATAAAAGTTATTTTCGACCGAGTGACAAACCTAATTATAATTATTCTTCACAGTGTCCGTAAACGGCATTGGACGGACACGAAGTGTGCGTAAAACGACGTTTTACGGATAGTGTGATGAAATTGTATATTTCAGCACGTGTGGGGCAATTTCGTCTTTAACGTGTGTGGGGTTTACAGCATGAGCCGAAGGCGAGTGATGTAACCACACACGTTAAGGACGAAATTTCCCAACAAGTACTGAACAAAATTTTATGTCACGAAGCCTGAAACCGGCTGAATTAGACACGAGACGCGAAGCGTCGAGTGTGTAATCCAGCCGGTTTCAGGCATGAGTGGCATAAAAGTTATTTTCGACCGAGTGACAAACCTAATTATAATTATTCTTCACAGTGTCCGTAAACGGCATTGGACGGACACGAAGTGTGCGTAAAACGACGTTTTACGGATAGTGTGATGAAATTGTATATTTCAGCACGTGTGGGGCAATTTCGTCTTTAACGTGTGTGGGGTTTACAGCATGAGCCGAAGGCGAGTGATGTAACCACATACGTTAAAGACGAAATTGCCTCACACGTGCTGAAATATACTATATTATTTTCCTCGCCTGAATTTTAAACAATAGAAATGCAGCATTTAACGATTTCCGATTCAGTGGGGGTGACAACTTCACGTCAGTTTTATTTGGATTACTTTTCCCCTTAGAGTTTCGACTGATTTCAAACATACGAATCGTTGCTGTTGCCCTCAGGTGGAAGATTCTAGAAAATTTTATTTTTATTATTTTTAACGGAATTTATCGCAAGCTGCTTGTGACTGGCCATCGCCCGAGGGCCTCCAGCAGCTTTAGAGAATGTTATCTTGGATATTTTTCAAATATTTCCCGCTGCCATTAGCAACCGACGAAAAGTTCGTAAACAATTTTCTTGACCGAAAGAATTATATTGCAACAAAGCTTTCATTCATATCTGATGGCTTTTAGGATCTCTGCGTATTTCAACCGATAGTTTTTTGATAAATTTCAATTTGTCGCATATCAATCCGAATTACAGATAAACGGGTAATACACAGAAAAATGGACACGTAAATGATGTTTTGGTCAGCGTAATTGAGTAGTGAAGCGGTACACTGGTTTAAGTCGATTTTGATTATTGGCCAGTTTTCAACGAAAATCAGGGGATTGCCTCTCTCTCTTTCTTTCTCCCACATGAACTAAAAACTAAACAAATATTATAATATCACAACATAAAACCACACATTTAAATATAAAAGAATCTCTAATTTACTACAATACGATTGAATATATGCAGTTGTATTCTTTGGCTATAATTCACTCCAATAAATTTCAGCTCAGTAGATAGAATTCACAATTTTTCAGTATTAAAAAATTCCAGCAAACTTCTTTGAGAATCAATTTCACTCCGGGGTTTATTCCACTCGTACATCCCCAAAGGCACCTAAAAAAATTGCAATTACATCTCCTTTCGTTCCCTAAAGCTTAAGGAAATTTTTATGCTCTTTCCTCTCGAGTATTAATCTAAAGAACCAAGAATTTCGCATCCTTTTTCCGGAAAATTCCGCGGAATAAAACAAAAGATTAAATTTTTCCGGGCGTTTGGAGGCAATTGAAAAATGCATTATCGCGGGAATTGAATTTTTCAAGGGTTTTACTAGAGGGGGTTGTTGAATGATTCAATGGCGGAGAGAAAAGTACCGGAGGGGCCACGTGATCCGGCGATACCGCGTGCTCAGCTTACCCCAGTGCAGCTGCCTCCTGCAACACTCCGCTTGTTTCATTCCTCACGCAACCGCCACACGAGTCACATCGCGGTCCTCTCGCTCTCGAATCGACACTAACTGAGTCTATTCAATTCCATTGTTATCCATTCTTGGAAGATGTGTCACAAATGTTAGTCATATAAATATCCAGAGCACAAACCCCTTCTAAATCCTAAACTGAACGAGAAGATTCTTAAAACATAAACAAAGTGTTTAGTGACGTTGGAAATAATTAGAAGGCTTGAAACAATACAAAAATGATCTCTGGACGAGTGGCAGTTGCATTCCTCGTGATGTGCTTAATCCTCACAATTTTCCAGGTGAGAAAACCAATAAAAATCAATATTACATGTGAAAAAATTTCACTTGAAACCCTTGTAAATTCTCTCAAGAATTCTCTTGAATTCAAGTATTTTGGCTATTTTTTCTCCAGTGAAATGCTCTTCTACTTTTCTAGTCGAACATCAGAGCTTTCATTTTAGCTCCATTTGACCCTAAGTTTCCGGACATTTTACAATGATTTTATTATTTAATCTTTGCACGTTAGAAAACATTTAAAAAATCTGCAGAAAAATTAGAAAGTTTACTTTTGGAGGAAGATTGACGATATGATTTAAAAATTACAATTTTTGAAAATTTCGTTTCTATAAATAATTTATAAACAATCGATTTTCCACCATGAAAATCATTTATTCGAAATCATAAAGAATTTATTCCTTCTCAGAATTTTACCAAAAATCGATGTCATGCCTAAAAAAATAAGGTTTCCGACAGTTTAAACAATTTCAATTATTTATTTATAAGCAACGAATGTTAAAAAAATGATAATTCTATGCAAAATGCAATTTAATTGACAAATTTGATGATTGAAAATGGTTGGATTGGATAGCCTCAACTTGAAACTCTATAAGAATTCTTTTAGAGTTTTATTAGAATTCTACTGAACTTTATATTTTGATATTTTTTTATAGAAAAACACTAAGGAGATGTTAATATTTGCTTGTTGATGATGGATTCTACTGGAGTTTGTTCTTGTAAAAAATTTTGGACTGAAAATGTTCTGAACTTTGTTTCTTGAATTTAATAATGAGAAACAATGAAAAAATACAGCTGAAAAACTTGAAAAATTTTTGTCCAAGAACTTTCACAAAAAGAAATCTCAAGAGAATTTTTCCTGTAGAAATATCGAAATCTATCGACCTACTTCTATCACATATTCATTTTAAAAATCGCACTGTAAAGAGGATAATTTTCAACCGCCAAATACAAACCGCCGCAAAAAAATCATCTCTTTGTATCATAAAACTCCAAATCGACTTCTGATGACAAAAAATTGGTACTCGAAATTAAGACTTCACAATTAAGGGTCACAAGAGTCAAAATAAGAATCACGAGGGTCAAGATAAAGGTCACGAGGGTCAGAATCAGGGTCATGAGGGTTAGAAGAAGAGTTACGAGGGACAGAATAGGGGTCATGAGGATCAGATTAAGGGTCATGAGGGTCAGGGTAAGGGTCACGAAGGGTATAATGAGGGTCACGAGATTCAGAATCAGGGTCATGATAGTCAGAATAAGGGTTACGAGGGTCAGGTTAAGAGTCATGGATCAGATTAAGGGTCACGAGGGTCAGATTAAGGGTCGCAAGGATCAAAATAAGGATATGTGGGGCATATGGGGGTTGGCGAGCGGAGCGAGCAGGGGGCGTATCCCCCTAGTTTGTTAATAAAATTCGAATAGAAGTTCAATAGAATTTCTCTAAGACAGCGCCCGATTTTTCTATTGAATTTCCATGTGTGATAATTAACAAAAAATTAATTAGTTACGAAAAGTTTTCGGATGAATAAATCACTCAACTTGAGAACTCCCTCAATCTCCAAGTTTGATGCTATTTCATAACAGTATGAAGCTTTTAATTGCTATAATCGAAGTTACGTACTGGCGCCGGGCGTCTCGACGCTTCAGTTTGCCCCCATTAGCCGCAGAAAGGTTAATTCGACGTTTGCCAAATAGAAGGATACGCTTCAACAGTTCACAGTAAACAACTTATCGGGTCACGATGAAGAATACTCTCGGTGTAACCCATTCCGATAGCAAATTCAATCCGTATTTCAAATTCTATTAGTCGGTTTATTTGTACCACTTAAGTGGATAAGTAATCCTTTTAACGAGTTACTATTCCGGTGGCGGATTTATCCCTCCGGAACGGTCGGGACGAATTTTTCAGGCAAATTTTTTTTTTTACCTTCCTCATTGTCCTTGACTCCTGGGAACACCTGCCGGTTTATGTTTCATTGTCTAATTTTCGGAATTGAATTAATTTGAATGTCATTACTCTGATACGGGATTTTATTTGTGAGTGTTGAATACGAAATTCTGTATTTTTGCTTCCGAATGGAAGCTTTGTAATCGCAATTTTTTTCGATTCTCTAATTTTGCTTGGATATGACTCAGGGTGATCTGAAACGTCGACATTTGATATTTTTAGCAAATGTATGTATGTATGTGTGTGCGTGTGTGTGTGTGCATGCGCATTTGTCCAGAAAGTCATCAATAACTCTGAAACTGTCTTTACGAAAAATCTGAAATTTTGGCTCATAATAGGTCCTAATGGGAGACAGACATGTGCAAAATTTCAGCCTGATCGACTAAGTGGTTCCTGAGATATAGCATTTTCTCAAAAATGGTTTTTCACGAATATCTCATCAACGGCTTTATCAATTAAAAATTTTTTTATCCGAAAATCTTTGTTTTGATAATACCTATCTTTTTGTATCAAAACCTAATGAATCCACTACGGAGAATGGGTTTTTTTTTCTATTTTTTCACTTTTTTCAAAAAATCGCTTGTATCCACGATAACTCAAAAAATAATTGAGATAAAAACTTCAAACTTTGTATGATTATAGCGCCGTTGGTAACGAAGGCTGGTATTGTCGGTGGGCGAAATCGGCCCAGTAGTTCATGAGATATTTAACTTTATAATCGAAAATTCTTCCTTTAATATCTCAAAAACTACTGGACCAAATGCATTTTGCTTGCTCTCAAAATTTTCGTCTGAGTGGTGGCTATCGATGCAAATCAAAATATAGGTACCATTCAATTGAAAGTTTTCGAAATATTTCAATTTTTCTCTTTTTTTGAGATCAGATTCCTATTTTCGACTGTGAAGTGGTTTAGACTTCTATTAACGCTGTCAAATTCATCATTCATATCAGGTTGGTGTCTGGTTATTGAATTATATGGTCCTGATCATGAATGTAACGCGTGGTCGAGACAGGCCCTGAACCGGGCACCCGTGTCCGGATCTTATACGGAGATCCTAGCCCCGACCTGATCTGGGGAACTACATCAGGTCCATGCCGAGTTAACTTATACGGTCCTAATTGAGTCATTCCAAACTGTGGCATTCCAAATTTCCAAATTTGCGTCAACTCTGGGTTCGATCCATCACAGAAGTGGAATTGGATTTTGGAATGGAATAACTACGGATCCATTCGGAAGCATACTACCGATGGAATTGGTAGAAATTAAAAACGAGAGAAAGTAGTATCACAAAAAGCGACAGTAAAAAAGCTTCGGTAGAATAGGCTTCTACCACTGCTTGTTTAACAATACTTCACTTTTTTGATTATTTAATACATGTTTTAAAATTAAAAATCAATCAGTTGTGGGGAAATTCAGATTTTATTCTAACGGGCAGATGTAATTCAAGTCACTTTTACCTTAAAGTTGTATAAACATAGCTTAAATTTTGAAGATAAAAATCTGAAGTAAATTCTAAACGGAAGTTGATATGAATAAAAACAGTTCGGTGAGTTCACACTCAATTGGAAGTCTAGTATTATTGATAATTAATTTAGAAGAGCCAAAATAACACAGAGTCTTATGAGAAAATCAATTTTCCGAGTTTAGAGAGAAGATTAACCGACGTCGGTGGCCGAGTGGATTAGACGCAAGTCTAGTGTGCGAAAGGTTGTGAGTTCGACTCCCCGTGGAACTGAATTTTTCAACGGAAGGCTCCGGCGAGCGGGAGGTTGCTAATAGAGGAACCGCCTGTACCGGCATGGGTTTTCTGTGGTTTCCCTATGCTACTTGTATGTTCTATAGAAGTGCGAATACGGTACAGTGTAGAATCCACAGCCGCATGCATAGGGTTGGATAGAGTGCCGAATGTGACCCGAAAAAAGGACTCCGAGGCCGTAAAAAAAAAAAAAAGAAAAGAAAGAAGATCAAAATGTAGAACAAATCAGAAGGAAATAACTAAAAATTCTATGTCTAATACGAAAATTATCGTCAGCGTCAAACTTTTGTGATAAACCCCGAATGTACTGGATGCCCTAGTTAAACGAGAAACTATTGTTTAACAAAATAATAGTCGAGAAAGATTTTGATGGATTAATTTCTTACTCTCGTCAAAGTACAACTTTATGTAAGAAATTATAAATGGTGAATAGTTTTTTTCCAAGCATTTTAAACTTACTTCTCCTCGCTGCACTCAACGATTCACGTAGAGTTTGAATATACTACAAATTAGACAACAAATTTATTTCTCCATTTCCTCAAATAAATTCTAAAATTACAGTAATTATTGGACCTTTCGCATTTGAGATGTACCAATGAAGTCAGTGTTCTTGAACTGTCGTATAATAACAATGCGACAAGAGTTTCAAAATTATCGAGTGTTTCTCGATAGAGCCATTGCCAACAAATGAACAGGTCAAGTTTCCAGGCAAAAAAGATGAATTCTGGAAAGCATGGTGGTTGCATTTGTGTAGACCGAACCTTGAGGGAAACATCTCGATTAATTGTGAATGCTCCAGTGGTTCTCGGGAGATTATTTTTTGCCTCAGAATATCGGAGAGAATCTTTGGCAGCAGACGACAGAGGTAAATCAAATTTTTTTTTTAATACTGAAGAGTGATAATTTTCCATGTAGTTCCAAATGCAACGATTCTATGGTTCGAAATTCTGAAGGAGAAAATAATAGACATAAATCAAGAATTCATGAATAATTTAATTGTAAACCCAATTTAATGTCGCAATATTGGAAATTGGGCTATAACTGTCAATTTCATATCAATGTCTCCCAACACTTCGGGAAAGATTTCGAGAATTAATTCACAGACGAATATTTCGTCTTGGAATAAGGAGAATGTAGGAGAGGGTGGAGCAAAGTGGAACATTTTGTGGCCTTTTCAAATTACCAATATCTTGGTTTATAAATGAAGATATTGGGATTACTAGCTGATCAATATATTTTTTTACAAATTATGATTTTGCCTTCATTTTGCATTGCCAAATGTTAAAACTGCATTTATATT